TTTGGCCACGACATACTAAAAAGATCATACGCAAATTAGCAAAATTACTAACCTCATCAGAAGTCATTCACGATGTTTTCCCCCATTTCTTCTTCCCGATGATTACGGAAATATGAATTGAATAACTTAAACTAACAAACTCAAAACAATACTAACCATTCTTCGTCAAAAGTTATTTTTTGTTTAGCCTTCAGAGCACAACCATCTACAAAAAGAAAAACCGAATAAAAACAGAAACTTTTTTCATAATTTATAACTTTTTATTAACAAACCGCAATCAATAAAGCAGTAAAAATACCCCCAAACACCAGTAAATTTATATATAAATTCTTTTCCCCAATGCAGTAAATCTAAATAAGATGATAATAAGTTAGTGATTTCAATCCCCACAAAGTAGTAAAATTGCAATTTTCAGTAGTAAATTTATACAAATGAAAGCAGTACTAACCTTTTTAAAGACGCTTCTTTACAATAATCACTCGCACACAATTCTATCTATAATCGCACTGCTCGCCCACGACGAATTGTTTAAAATAGTGAATTTAAGTTTTAACTTTCACTGATAAGAACTATAACCAATATTAACAAGTTTAAAACTTTCCTTTAACCCGGTTAGAAAGGAATTATATAATAATCCAAACTAACCAACGCAGCTTACTAAACACTACAAACCACAACCTAACAGCATGACTAAGAAAAGAAAACCCACGGTACCCAAACCGGATTAAGCCAGCTTAAGAACTGGATAATTTATTCTTTTGAAGACTATTCATAAGCCAAAAAAAAAACGAATAAAACCCAAACCAAACAATATGATTTTTGAGAAGAGGACAACCAAAACAACAAAAGAAAAAGACAGTAATAAAAAAGACAAAAAAAGTTAACACAAAAAAGGACCCCACAAAAAACTAGCATGAAATCATACCCTACACCTAGCCTAACCCACCAGAAGGGACGTCCTGAGTATGCTATATAGCTGGCCTAACCCACCGTGCTACAACCACGCTTTGTGACCCACTCCCTATTTTGACGAGAGTTACTCAAGGGCGAGTAGCTCTTTAAAAATAACAGAACTGAGCAAAAACGCTTTTGCGATAAAAACTAATAAAAGATCATTACTAAAAACAAAATTAACAAAAATTTATAGATGTAAATGATATAATGCAGTATAAACATTATACACAGCCCAAAGACAAGCATCAAGAAACTAGACGACCCCGTCACACTGAAACTACAGAATGGCTAAACACAACCGATATACTGACTACAACCACAACTCAAAGGATTTGAAGTACGACTTGGAACCGCAGCAAAGGGACTCCATTGAACCAGACCAATGGCCATCTCGATGTTCAAGTATACGTAAAGATCCGAGTTACAAGGCACCCCCTCCAAGCTCAAACTTCACGCCATTCCCAAACGAGATTAGAACACCGTTCTCTACAAAGCAAGAACAAATGATCAAAACAAACCATTTAGAAATGAGATCGATTTCCAGAGACAAACAACAATTGGCGGTCACAGTCATTGTCGAATGACAATTCCTATAGACGATTCCAGCTTCCTGGAGCAGACGGATAAGACATCATTCTCCAAGAATGGAACAGAAATGATGCTCGCGACATACAAACGATCATCATCCATCCTCCATTATAGAAGAACGTCAAAGAACAAAAACTCTGTAAACCCCGGATGGGTGGAACCAGATTCAAACTAGATTTTATTATTGGCTATTATTTATATATTATATTCCTATAAAATATTGAACACTAACCAATCATACTCCATCAAATTAACAACCCACTTATTTGTAAGTGCTGAAATTAATTTCAGCACCAGAGAGATTTGAATTTAACTTAGAACTTAGTTGCTTTCTCCAAGAGACCGACGGTAACAAACCAGTATACTCTAGATCTATTGAGACTAGGAGATAATATAGTAAGATTAAGATCGGTATTAGACTAAGAAGTTGCACGAATCTATCCGGCCGAAAAAAAAGATAGCGTGACGAGCAGACGGAGTACTTTATCTGAAATTACTCTATGAAATATGAACAGCAAACCTAACTCACGTACGTGATTTTCAATAAAACAGTTTAAATTCAAATTTGAAAGACAAAACTCTAATTCTGGAGTCGCTTACTGCGAATAAGCTGGCATTTCTGAGACAGCATTTCTGAAAAAACGATATAGTAAACTATAATCGGGGACCGACCTTGGATCAAGTTAACATCCTCCCCTTTTTTAGGAAGCCATTTTTGACGAAACTTTTTAAAAATCATTCAAAAGGTCCTGAGCTTAAATTTGAAAAGATATTTCGTCTATGATCATTTTTCGTAAGTTTTGGGGGTTTACAGATTGGCATTTTGGTCAATTTGGGACAATTAACGCGCGATATATTTCGCGCTATTTCCAAATTGGTTGGAGGAAGCTTACTTGCCTTAATTGATGTGTTACTGGAAGCGAAATTGATCACTTTGTACTTTATATGGCGTGTGGGAAGATGATTTTCACAAAATATCTCAAATTCAATTACAAAATTTTTTGCATTTTATTTTCTTTTTTTTATATTTAATTTTTTCATGTTATTACTGCTTCATAGACCTTAAAAGGCAGTCGGAACATTCGGGGCTTTGCCCTGATACGAGCAGTCGTGTTACTTTTCTGCGCTATCTGATTTCATCGAAGACGGTCAAAATATTATCTATGACGAGTCTGTTAGAAATATCTTCCTAATCAGTTAGTTTTCAGACCAAAAACTTACAATATATCTGCAAAAGGCCAAAGGCGCCTTAAAACATTTTGAGGTTGTTGACCGAAAAATGGATGTCATAAAGTTATACCAAAGGAGGAACCCTTTGGAACATTTTCGCAACCAGAATTGAGGAGAGGGGGAGGACAGTCGCCCCCACCCCCTCCCCCTCGGTACGCTAGTGGCTCAGAGATACATTGAATACCGAGTCAAAACAGAATTTTGCGCAACTCACGATTCAGTAGGAGAATATGAGAAAATTTTTGAAACGATTACTAATCGCGAGTTTTTTTAGCAGACGAATTTTTAAGCATAGAAAAAAACCGAGTGTTTTAGCAGAGGAACAGAACACAATTGACTCAAAATTGATTGAAGTCTGTAAAAGTCAAAAAAACTGGGGTTGAGCTTCACTATTTAGGACAATTATCTCACAGCCTTTCAGCAAAGCAATAATTTCACATAGGCGAAGCTGCGCTTTGCAAATACTAGAGAGAAAACGGCAAAAAGAGGCTCTAAAAATAAAATAAGAAAAATAGACATCGAAATAAGCCTCGAAATAGTTCTATGTATGCTATATATCGGATTCGCACCTGCTCTCGAGATTTGAAGTCTCATGCCTTCGCATCTGCGCTATTTCGTAACGAGTTCATACTGTGCACTGGATAGGCGCACAATTGTGTGACTTTATCTTGCTAGATTCCAGAGACAAGTCTGTAAACATATTAAAATTATTTCGGAATGATCAAGAAAATGAAAAAACAGAAGAACAAAGCGATCATCCTCCTTGTAGCGGAATCCGCTTAAATGCACAGTTTGGCCTCATAACGGTGCCCCTGAACGTTTGCCCAAAGTAACCACTATTGATGCAGCTATAGATGCTTATGAATTGCTAAGGATATGTAGCAAAAAAAACCACCAAATATAAATGAAAACTCTCTTAAGTGCGACGTTGTACCAGTGGCCAGTCGGATGGGAGTCTCCCGTCCGTCCAACAGTGTCACGGACGTAAACACCTACCACAGATAAAGCAAAGAGCAAGTGCTATGAAATGTTCAATGCTAAAGACCATGATGATAGCAAAAGGGCAACTTTTTTTTATCTGCAAGTTAGGTTGGAAAAAAGTAGGGCAAACTAATACACTACCTTAAAAGACCACTTTTCGAATTGAGTTTTTGTTTCTACTTGCTGAAAGCTATTGAAAAAGTATTTTACCTGGAACAATTTTCCGTACAAACATGGCGGTTTCAAAACTGTCAATTCAACTAATTTGGGACAATTAACGCGCATATCAATTGAAAACTAGCCAATTTTGACCAATACATTGAAAATTGAAATCGTTTTTGAAAGTTTTGAAATCGCTGAAGTTTTTTTGCACCATATTAACTATTTGAGTGGCATTTCCTTTCTTAGCAAATGACTGTGAATTGAAATTTGAAGTCAACCCGAGAAAAATTAAATTCGAACGTGAGAATTTTTTGGATCCCCCCCCCAAAAAAAGACCTTTTCACTACGTTCATTGACACTCAATAGTATTGAGTTATTATTACTTAGTATACAATAAAACTTGTGACCAAAAATGTATGTGTTACCAATTCCTAAGATTTTGGGGCCCCCTCAATCCACTACTGAATGGGAGGGCTTTAATCGTTTCTGAACAGAAACCTGTCATATATTTAAATGAGACCGGAGACTCATTGGATTTTATAAAAGGTTTCAGTTCGGAAACGAATAGAACCCTCTCATTTAGTAGTCGATTTAGGGGGGCTCTAGTGGATTTAGTGGGGTTTTAAGGTAAGACATCCATTTTTTGTTGACCGACCCAAAAACTTGAATGCAAGCGCCTTTAATGCCAATTTACACTGACGAGGTAACGCGTTCCAAAAAAAACATCCAAAAAGTGCCTAAAACATTGTTTAGTCAGTGGCATTTTTAAAAACAAAATACGGTCTTTTTAGATAGTTTTAGAAAAGGTTTTTAGATAGTTTTAGAAAAAATCAATGCGTTTGACCTATAAACCTGAGAAAAGGTTGACAACGTTATGGAACTTATGATTTTTGAGCTCTCGTGGAGCATTTGCACGAGCACTTTTTTAAAGTGAAAGTGCAAAAATTCGTAATAGTGCATTTTTGGATATTCAAGGAACTTGATTCACATCTGGTAGGAGCTTGAAGCTTCTTATCTGTCTAAGTGCATACAACCCGGAAGAAAAATTGTAAATTTCATAACACAACTTTTGTAATCATGATCTGTCAAAATATCAAAGCGAATTATTAAGGTTCAGCTAGTCCAATAGACTGGATCTTCAATGTCAAAGTTCATCATCCACAGCACTGGATCTGAATTGTCTATATGAACTTTATTTGCCATGTAGGAATTCGAAGTGCTGATCAGTCCGCCCATCTGCATATGCATGTCTGTGACGTCATACTTCAGCCCTCTTGTAGTAATTTTCCGCACAGATGTGAACAAAGGCACATGACCACATGTTTGAGACGGACAAGTATTCACATGTATCGTATGTGCTCCGGGCTGCAGAACCCAAGCAACAGATTGTTCCGATATCAAAAATAGTTCTTTTTTGGGCAAATGTCTTTGGCCAACTTCGAATGTTTTGCAGGAATGTTTATAAAGTGTGTTTAACTGGCTCAAAACATGGTCAATTCTTCCTTGCAAGGCGCAAAGTGCAATGATTCCGTGATTATCAGCTTTTGGAAAATCGCTTGGATTCCTGTCGCATTTGCTTTCTTCTAAGATTGTTCTTAGACATTTTTCGAAATCAGTCGAATTTTGCTCTTTGATTTGGGAAATTACAACTGATTCCTTCGTAAAATGATCTCGGACAATTGATTTGATTGAATCAAGATCCCCTTAAACAACAATATTTTACAGATTCCTTTTACTTGACAAAAAAATTTATGATAAAACGAGGAATCCAGTTAACAACAGCTATTAACGTCCAGCAACATATTAATAGTAGTAGTTAAAACTTTTTTAAAAAACTTACAAACTTATAGCACGCATCCTGAAGTGTTGTTTCGAGGGCCGAAGTTTAAGTCAATTTGAACAAAACTCGTGAAATGTTTAATGAAAAATTGCATAGACAAAAAGTACAAAATCAGTAATTTCATTATTTTGCTGCTTTAAAAATAACTGCGTTAATAAAAATCTGTTCCCATAAGTTTCCATCAATACTTAAAAAACAACAATTTGTTTCTTTTCTACTAGACAACTAAGTTTCAAGTATTCGATTTTTTTCTCAAAAAAACAACACTAAAAACCAGTGGCATAAAACTACCCTTGCTATTCTATATATTAGAAATCAAAATTAATTATGGCACTGTAAGACAACTTTGGAAGTATCGAGAAAACAATTTATCGTCTAGGCCATGATAGCAACCTAAAAGAAAATAAGAGTACAGAAAGATAAGTCAAAAAAAACTTTATATTATTTTTAAAAATTAGCGCTCCAAAAAGTGACCACAGGTAGACAAAGCCTTCGCGCTTCAACAGATTACAAGAAAATGATATGACTTAAATCATTTGATATCTATGATTCGTATGATGAACAAAAAGATGTACTTCAGCGTTGGTATGGACAGTTAAAAACCGACTTGACTAAACTTTTGTAATATGTCAAGATTTTTAAATTTAACAAAGGTTCTGCTTGTGAAATGCCAACTAAATAATGTATAGATAGTTACAGACAGATGAGAAACAATTGATGATGGTCTATCAAAGACTGTGAGCATTTCTCAGGATACTTTTAAGGACAAATCAAACTCTGCTCTTGTACGTATGCTGCTTATGACGCAATATTCTCAATACACTTCGTAGGATACATCTAACGAAAGCGTCGAATTCTGCTCTTGTGCGGTTCTGATTATGAAGCAGTACACTTCCAAAGGTACATTTTAAAAATAAAACAATTTCTGTACGTGTTGGCGTTCTGTTTAACCAAATTTCTCAATAAAATTCGAAGAATACCTTTTTAAGGTAAAACAAGACTGCTCGTATATCAGGGCAAAGCCCTGAATGTTCAGACTGTCCTATAGTTTAGTCTAGAACATGACCAATTTGGCAATTTTCAAATCCCCCAGAACTTTACAAAAAACAATTGGAGGAAAAATATCTTTTTAAATTGGAACTCAGGAAATCGGTATCTCCAAGGAGGTATAATAAAACTGAAAAAAACCAAACCGAGCATAAATATTCCGTTTTCTTAGAAAATCGGAACAAAAAACATTCTGCTGTTGTTGGCATGCTGCTTATGAACCATTTTTGTCAATATACTTCTACGGATATAATTCTAATGACACAACCAATTCTGATTTTAAGCGCGTTTTACAAATGATGCTCTTGTGCGCGTTCTTAACATACTTCTAAGGACATTTTTCTAATAATACAGCAAAACCTGCTCTTGTGTGTGTTCTGCTAATTAACCAATTTTTTCAATACACTTCGAAGGATACCTTTCTAACGAAACAACAAATTCTGCACTTGTGCGCGTTCTGCTTATTATCAGGCAATGCACATAATTATGCACCAAATATAATTCCAGATATAAACTTATGGGAATACCTACAACGAAGTCGGGCAGCAGACACATGTCATAAAGCACATTCGCACCGCCATCAGCCGCCACCTTCAAGGTGGACTTCTTCCACAACTGGGAAAACAGAGGGTCCAATTTGGACAGGGGGTTGTTCAGGACAATCAGAGAGTGGGGTTCCAATAAAGAGGGAATCAGGAGTCTCTCTGGATACCAGTGAGTTGTTTGACCAGTCATTCTCATTCAATTTATTCAGAGATTAATCGACGCATCACATCTGCAACACACGTTAATTTGGGCACTTTACTAATCTTACTCACTTTATTCACGCTAACTACTCTTTTACATGAAATGCGGATGCGCACACGGTATTTAAATGATCTTGACGAAGAAAATAATGACCTTGACGAAGAAAATAATGACCTAGACGAAGCAAATCTATCATAATGCGCGCAGTTTAGGACAGATGACCATTCATTAAAACAAGACTGCTAGCTATCAACAGGAAGCCCTGAAAACTCCGATTGCCCTTACAGGTTCCGACTGAAACAGTTGTCAAATTGTTATAAAGTTTCATTTACAAAGGGTAACATTTTGAATCTAGTTGTTTTTTTTTGGACCAGTTAATTTAATTAAATTCAATTTGGAATAAATTCTAGATGAGTCACTTTGTCGCCTACGCTACGCGTTTAACTAAGTTTACAAACACAGCGCTCGCATTATTTATCCTAAATTGACAATATTGATATCCCCATTTTACAAACTCAAAATAGAAAAAAATAACAGTAACTTAAGCTGAAAAAAACTCAAGTTTACAGCTCAAGTTTTAAAATGGGATACTTTAGCCTTCAGACTCGCTACCGTGAGAAAAGCATTCAAAATATAGCCAGAAGAACCATATTTCCTGATAAATGATAGGCTACTGCTTGAATTCTTTAGACAAAAAACGTTGAATAGAACGATAAATGAAAACTTTTCCAGAGACAAAATTTTCATTTTTGAATTTAAGACACAATTTTTTATAGACCACATTCATTCAAATTGAGCAATAAGAGGCCGAAGCCGAAAACATAGCCCATAGACAGTTGGAAATGAGTCAATGAACTCAAACAGAAACAAGACTGCTCGTATCGGGACGAAGCCCTGAAGGTTACGACAGCATTTTAATGGGAAATTTTCGACAGATTTAACGACAGATTTTTTTCCCATATATCAAGTTCTTTTCTGGGTAAGCGGAAAAAGATTGGCATAGAAATTTAGTATATATGTTGAAACGGAACCGAAAATTTCAAAATAATCTATTTTTTTTTCTGACTTTCGCAACGAAACTAACGGAATTTTTGTGCTCGGGTGGTTTTTTTTCTTCAGACAAATTGCGACTTTTTTTAACTAGCCATTTTTGACGGAATTTACGGACAAAATTTTGAGAAATAAATTTCTTAGCAACAATTTTTCTTAACCTTCAAACATCATAAAAACTAGAAACTCGTTTTATCAGATAAACTTTCAAAAAGCAATTTAAGCCGTCACATTTTAAAGACAAACGTGCAGCACTTCCCATGGGAGTACCTTGACGTCACACACCACACGGTCGAGAGTTTCTGAGAAGTACTTTTTTCTATGCAAGTTCTTTTTGGAATTTTCATAAAATTATACAAAACGTCATATCTTCGAAGCTGAAAGAGTTTGATAAGTCAACTTTGTCTGCCGCACTTGCTAGTTTTCAGAGCACACTGACATCACCAACTTTTTAGGGCTGAGAATTTCAAAATTTCAGTCGCACTTTTTAAATATAAGCTTCACGAAAATTTTTGATAAGACGATATTTCGAAATGTTGAATTTCTGATACAGTCATTATTGGTGGCCAATTTTTCAATCACTGGGTTTGCCCTGACATTACCACTCGATGTAAGCGAACCTTTCAAAATTAAAGAAGTATTTTTTCACATCTTAGTTTTTTGAAAAATTCAGAAAAAAAAATTAAAAAAACCAAATCTCGGAAGCTTAAAGAGGCTGAGAGCAGACATTATTGGAGTCTATATTTGCAAAACTTGTGAATAAAGTCACATCATCCACAATGAGAACGAGTTCAAGTTTTTGAAATAGTTTTTGAAATATTAATTGAAATAGACAAACCTCGGAATCTAAAACATATTCAGCAGTCATATCTAGAAGCGAGATTTGCAATCCTTGGGAGTATCCTGATAGCATTCCACCATAGAATATAGGTATGTAATTTCAAATTGCACGATATTGTTTGAAGATGTTCGAAAAAATACAAAAAACTTGTATCTCGTACAAGATTTGGGTGGTCAAATTTTGAGGCCAGATTTGCACCCCCGGAAAAACCCTGGAAACACACGATCATAAGGTTGCTTATTTTTAAACTTGATTTTTAAAAGTTTGCGTTGCGAAAAAAACTGGAGTTCAAGCATTCGCGCTGCGCAACAACAGATGTATGGTGAAAACTGTATAATGACCTTGGAAATTTGCATTTAATTTTTCGTTTAGATAAACAAATGTTTGTCAACATTCTTTTATTACATTTAAAACCAGGAATTCAGTTTAAAAAAAGGTTGCAAGAAATAGGTAAATTACAATGTCAACAAAGCGATTTCTTAAACATGTGTCAAGTGAAAGGCCAGTTTCATTATGTATAGATAGATTGATTTTCGGCCTAAAAAGGTGAACCAATGAATTTCTGGAAGAAATTTTGACAGCAGTTATGATGATCTGTTTTTATTTCAATGACATCTGACCGAATTCGTGTAAAACGCAAATAAAATTTGATGCTCGAATTATAATGGTCTAATACTTTTGCTATGTGACCGATAAGCGTTATGTACAAACTTCTATATTTACAAATTTATTTCAGTTTTCGGACCATGAACACTTCTTTATCTTCTAGCTTATTCTGAGATGTTGTAAGCTTAGCTTTCACGAGGAATTGAACATTGGCTCCCAATAATGGTATGGAGAAATAAGTGAACTCGGAGCCAAATGGTACAACGCACTCCACTTGCGTTGAATTTGCATTAAGCATAGTGATGTTTTTGGTGAGCAGAGACCAAATGAGAATTCTTTCGTTCACTCTCGACACAGCATCAATCTGTTTAACTTTGTGAACACTCTCTTTGAGAATTATTGATTGAAGACGAAGCGTGCTACGTAAACCGTGGGTTTTTATCGAAAGTATATCGTTATCTATTGTAACAAAGTGGGACCAGTAATTATCATAATATGTCATTTTGACAGTAGGCTTTAATTTACATAGAATTGAGCCATCAACACATGTATCGGTACCGGTTATATTCTTCTTCTCCCAGTTCCATTTATACTGATACTCAGAATCATCACTGATCACCAACAGTTGGTCAGGATTTGAAACATGTTGTAGATTGAAATACTTAAAGGTTTTGGATCGTATCTCAAAAGCCAAATCGAACTGATCAGTCTGGGTATATATTGTATGTGATGACAAATGGGGATAGACGAGAAGCTTTTCAACCTTTTCTGGACAGGTGTACTTCCCCAGTACAGTTCTTACTGTTCTCGTAGAATCATGTTCTTTGGATTCGATAAATTTGATTTCAGAGACAAAAACTTCATTATCCACAGCATAGACGCTGTAAATGCTCTCACAATTTCGGAGATAGACAAAATGATCGTCGGATAAGTTCTCCTTGTCTGAAGTATCAACAACTTCAGCCGATTCCGAATTAATGTTTTTCGTACTCTCGCTCTTGCTCGAAGTTCCTGAGTTAAACACACTTTTCAGTAAAGGCATTTCAATTCTTTCACTGCATCGATTCAGGACGTCTTGCGCTGCTGTGACGAATTCGTCTGCGTCAAACTTGTGCTTTATGTGTTCAATTTTGAGGCCAGTTAACTTCTGCTGAGTCTCATTTACAGTCCCTATTTGATTCTTCACATCTGGGTATTTAGAGACCATTTGACCATCTGACTGGGAAAGTAAATCACGCAGATCTTTTTCACTTTTGAGCAGCAATTCTAGATTGCCCTCAGATTCCGTGCCGACTTCCATTACGTTTTCATGTTCGACTTTGATTCGGTTTAGTATCTTCTGTTTAATTTTGTCGAGTTCGAAGGATACGTTTTGTACCAAATCTTCATATCCAGTTCTGTAGGTATCTCGATTTTCAGTTAGACGAGCCTTCGTTTCTCGAACACACTTTTCGTTTTGCTCCAGCTCAGATAACTTATCGAAAACTTCTGACCTAATTTCAGAAGCCTTTTCTTTCAGCGACATAATACTGTGATTATTATGTTTCGCAACACATGCCATACATAGTAATACATCACAGCTCGTGCAAAACAATGAACATATGCTTCTGTGATCTGAACATAAAGCAGGCTTGTGTGATTTATGGTCCACGATTTCATGGCCTTTTTTAGCATGAGGCGCAATACATGCATCGCAATAGTACGTTGCCGCACCTGAAGAATCTGACTCTTTGTCGCAAGTTAAACATTTGAACAGTTTATCGGTTTCAGTTTTTTCAGCACAACACTCACATTGATTTAAGACTGGATCAGATTCAGAATCCAAAACTGTATCACTCGTTGGCGACTCCACAGTGGTTAAAACTGTTTCAGCTTCCTTCTCAGCCATAGCAGACAAAACATGCAATCTTAAATGAAAGCTACTTCCATGCAACTCAAAAAAATAACAGGCCAGGCAAAGTTCCATAATTCAGTTTTTTCTTGTTTAAATTCTTGTTTAACCTAATGACAAAATGGAAACGTATAATTAAATGTTTGAACAACTCTTGTTAACTGTCTACCACCCCCTATTGTAATTCATAAATCCTAAATAATTCAAAATCAATTTCTCGAAAAGAGCATATCAACTTCTCTGTATTTTCGACTCGTGAATTAAAAATATCATCAAACCAGTTATATACCCCCATAAACTTCGTGACTTTTTTTTCAAATATATTACTACAAGCAATCTGAATTTATTCTAGCATGTTTATACGATCAATTGCTAGGCAAATAAATAAAATCAAATCTCAATAGAACAGTTTAAAAATCCAATCTCAAGTAATCATGAAAAATTAAAGCTTTTTTTTAGTTCTGATCACACCACTTACGCGACGAGAAGGAACTAAAGATTACGTAGTGTTATTTTTCGCCCAATTGTAGGTTCTCCAAGAAAAGTTATCAGGGGTTCAGTGTAATATCATATTGAAGCCCTATGGGTCCGTAATCAAAATAAAAACTCCATTTCGAGAAAAATTGGTGTAGAATTTTCCGTATGCCAGACTAAAGGACACGGAATTTACAAACCACAAGGAGAATCAGTTGTACCTAAACTCTCAATTTAATTCTCTGGAAATGTACTTAAATTTACTCCTTTTAA